CATGCACACTGCAGTGGTTTTTCATGAAGAAACGCCTCCAGTCCTTTGAGAAACTATTTGTCACTGGTTTGACAGTGTCAAGGTGACTAGAGAACTCTAGCGATAGTCTGGTGGCCAGGAATACTAAGGTCATCCCTTGGCTGGTGCCTCCCCTTTTCCTGTCCAGCAACCCCTCAGTAGCTCAGGTGAGCGACAGGCTTAGGGTGGGGGAGAGTTGGGGAAGCTCACAGTAGGTCTGAGACTTGGGTTCCTGCTCTGCCACTTGCTGGCTCTGTGACTTCAGTTTGCTGACTTCTGTGTCCTCATTTTTCACATAGTTAGATTTGTTTGGAGGTGCAAAGCACTTGGGACGGCGCCCGGTGTGTACTAAGAGCTCTAAGGCATTTTTAAAAATTGATTTTTTTTTTTTTGGTTTTTCGAGACAGGGTTTCTCTGTAGCTTTGGGGCCTGTCCTGGAACTAGCTCTTGTAGACCAGGCTGGCCTTGAACTCACAGAGATCTGCCTGTCTCTGCCTCCCGAGTGCTGGGATTAAAGGTGTGTGCCACCACTGCCCGGCTTAAAAGTTGATTTTTATTTGTACGTGTGTGTAGGTGTGCACGTGTGCACACACCAGTTGCCCTCAAGGGTCAAAAGAGGACATTAAAGCTCCTGGAGCTGGAGTTATAGGCAACTGTGAGCAACCTAATGTGGGGAAACAAACTCAGATCCTCTGCAAGCAATATCAGTATGTGTTTTTGGCCACTGCACAATCTCTCTGGCCCCCCTAAAGCCCTGGCTGTCCTAGAAGTCACTTCAGGCTGGCCTCAAACTCACAGAGATCTGCTTGCCTCTGCCTCCCGAGTGCTGGGATTGAAGGCCTGCACCACCATGACCGGCTAAGCATTTTCTATTATTTGGTTTTGTAAGGAGTAATTCTGCCCAAGGCTACCCACTAGCCTCAGGTGAAACTTGGCATGGTAGACACTTGCCTCGTGAGCAAAAGGTTCTTTGCTGAGAGACTGAGAACCTTGATCCCACACCCACACATGCACCTGTCCATCCTGGCCTCTACCCTCAGCCTAGCTCCTCCCTCCTGCCCTTGCTCCATTGGATCTTCTGGAAGGCTGTTCATCTGTTTCTCTCATTAGTCCTTTCTTCCTTTGCCCTTAGAGTTAGCGAAGGTGTTTGCTGCCTTCTTTCAGATCATAGTACTTGAAAGCCAGATTCTGGGGGCCATTCCAGAAATCCTGCTCCAGGGTGTCCAGGTAGGGGCCGAGAGCACGCGTCCCACCTGATGCTGATGGCGTAGCCCACTCATTAGCTCCACGGGTTCTATCTGGCTGCTCAGGCTCAGGAAGGGAAGGGTAAAGGCTTGCTGACCTTACTCTCAGGAGGCCCGAGGCTCATTAGCTCGTTCTGCAGCTGGGCACCATCTGGCTCAGGTACACACGTCATCATCCGTGGTGGGTTCTTAGAAATTTGCTTAGCATTTCACTCATGTTTTCTTGCGTGCTTCAGATTGGAAGGGCTCCTTTGGAGAGTGGCTGGTCGTGGAAGCTGAGGGCTGGCATTGCCTTTCTTTGGGAAAGCAGTGAACTGGGAAGGGGCCCTGGGCTCGATCTCCCGGATCCTGTTTTGAGCTTCAAGCCCAGACACCATACACAGCCGGCTGCTGTGTGACCTCACTTGAGTGACTCGCCATCTTTTGACTTTACTTCCCTGGTCTGTAACACGGAGGGCTGCACAGGTTTAAAGCTGTCTTTCTTCTTTAAAGTCTGGAAGTCCATGAGCCTATTTAATTGTGCTGACAGCTTTAGAACAGCTAATTAATGAGAGTTTAGTGGAAACACAATTAAGTGATAATGAAGGCCTTAGAAGTACATCTCTACTTCTTGTAATGCGTTGAGCCGATGAGACTACAGAGTGTGTTTTCACTGAGTGAACCCCCGAGAAGAGGAACAAAGAGCCACAGGCTCCCACTCTCCTACCTGGGGACAGGAGGAGGCCAGGAGTCAGGAACAAAGTCACTTGACGGAGGAAGTAAAGTGACAGACTGTCCTACATGAATGAATCCATTGACAGACAGGAAAGGGCTAGGAACCATGTGGGTGGAACAATATTTCTGCAGGGGTGGATGAGGGTGTTTTCCCTTAAGGCCCCCTAACATCCGCAACATCATAATTCTATGTTCTTCTATCCAGTGAGATAGATAAGCCCAGAAGTGTGCATGCGTGCGTGTGTGCATTGCATGTGCATGTGTATATGTCTCTCTCTGTATGTGTGTGTGTGTTACTCGCACTGAATCTTAGGCCTTGTTCATACTAGGTGAGCACTCTCCCACTGAGCAGCATCCCCATTCCTCTTTCTACTTTTGTTTTGAGAGAGGACTTTATGAAGTTGCCCAATTTAGCCTTAAACTTATTGGTGTAGCCTAAAACGACCCTGACCTTTGCATCGTCAAACCCCAGGCTGCCAAGTTTCTGGGATTATAGGCCTGTACCACCGGTCTGAATTTATAACTTTCTGACCATTCTGATGATGAGAAATGGAGGCTTTGAAGCAGTGTCTATCCCAAGTCAACAATAATAAGAGACTGGGATTCTCCTGGGCTTCTAAATTCTTCATGGCATCAGGGAAGGACAGGGTCTCCTGCTCTTGAAGACCCATGAACTTTTCAAAGATTCTCAAAGACAGCTTGTAACTTTGGCTGCAGAGACCTTCTCTGGGAAATGGGGCATAAGCATTATGCAGAAATGCAGTCTCTTTGCTGCAGAGGGAGGGAGGGAGGAGAGAGCATTTGTCTGGGTCCTGCCCTAGAAATGCTTCAAGTAATAAAATCAGGCTGGCTTAAGAAATCCATTACCCCTCTGGGCCTCCCACAACCACTCTGGAAGCGGAGAGGGAAAAAGCCTGGGGACTGGCCAGATCATGTGGCTCCAGACTCCTCACCTGTACTGCAGAGAGCAAGGTGAGGTGATCCGAGGCTCCATCAGCTCTGACCTCAAGTGGGTCTGGAGGACACCATTGGTGGAGATGGGGGCAAAGCTGCCCAGAAAGTCAGTGGGGGAAGGATGTAGACAGAGAGGAGCTAGGAGATAAAGGGAAGAGTCCAGCAGGAAGTGAGAAGCCATGATGCCCCTGGTCCTACCCAGGCAGTCACCTGGCTGTGATCTTCGTCCACTTAGGACCTAGGGACCCTGGCTTCTACACCTGAAAATGTAGAAGCTAACCTCCATGTGGTGAAGCTGGGAACAATGGGATGCCATATAGGTATATAGGGACTTTAAAAGGGCTGGGACTTGTTAGAGGGTAAATGCTACTTTTCCTGCCAGGGTAAACAAAGGAAGAGTTTGGAGTAGGGAATGAATGACCTGAGGGTAGACGAGGAAAAGAAACGAAACCCTCCCTTGGTGAGGCTTTTGCCTGCCCTCCAAGAGTCAATGATTCGGGGCCCGCCTCTGACGCCCACTTCTACCTCTCTGGCTGAGGAGGCTTTACCAGGCAAGCATAGAGCCAGGAAGGCCGGATGCCACTCAGATCCCCTCCTACGGGCACACATCAGTCAAAGAGCGGTCTTGGTGTATTGGAGGGCTCTAGAAGAACAGACACATAGAATGAAAATGTATCTTAAAAGAATTCTTAAATCAGCTGATGTCAAGATAGTACCAACAGTTGCCTCATGCCTGAGTGGCTTAGAACCCTGTGGTTGCTGCGGCTTCATCCACAAGGCTGGTGTCTCAGGGATCCCAGTCTGGTGCCGGAAGCCTAGAGGCTCCTGGAGAGCCGCTGTTCCTTAGTCCACACTGGAAGGTGGGAATGCTGCCTCGGATGTGACTGGAGGAGTCAGCAGCAGCAGGGACTATCCAGAGGGAAGGGAGGCTTCCTATTCAGGCAATTCTAAGTTGCTTGACAGTAAAACCAACCATCACATTTGGGCTTTTGTTTCCTGGAGAATTTCTCAGTGCCTGTCAGACCTAAAACATTTGGATGATTGAGAAAGCTGGTGTAAGAGGCTGGGGGAGGGTGTTAGCCATGTTCATACCGTGACAAAACACCTGATGAACATGACTCAAGCAAGGAAGGGTTTGTTTGGCTCCCAGTTTGAGGGTACAGACCACCATAGTGGGGGACATCATGGCAGCAGGAGTTTGAGGCAACTGGTCACATGGCAACTGCAGTCAGCATCCAGAGAAAGAGAGAGAGAAAGAGAGAGAGAGAGAGAAGAATGCTGGTGCCTCGCTCACTCTCTCTTTTTTGTTCAGTCCACGTCATGGGACGATGCCATCCATATCCAGGGTTAGTCTACCCTGGTTTGTGGAACCTTTCTAGAAACACTCTGACAGACACACAAGAAGTGTTTTCCTCAGTGATGCCGAGTCCAGTCAAGGTCCCACGGGGGCTGTTGTAAAACCCATAACAGAATCTCAGACCAAGGGAAGAAGGAAAAGGAGAGAAATCTGGGTGAAGAACATTCTGGAAAGCCTAGACAGGCCCCTTGTCCAGACAGGTCTGGCCTCCCAGTCCTTCCGTGTGCCACTAGCCCCTACATCCCTTCTTGGCATGAGGCAAGGCCAAGGTGGGGAGGCACAGGGCTGGGGTCAGGGCAGCCGACTCCCCTGGCAGACTAGATTTATGATTTGGCTGAGCTGGGGAGAGACGGAGCCTGCAGCCATCCGGGCCATGAAAAGCAGCCCAGTGTTTCTTGGAGGAGCCTCGGTGCCAAAGGCGGGGGCATCCATCTGGCCTCTCTGTGTAGTACATTTGTCACCCTGGAGCTCAGGGCCTGGCTGGCCTCCCTCCGGCCTGCTAAACCCATTGAGGCCTGCTCCCTCCTTCAGCGGCCCTTGCTATGGGACCTGCAGTCCCAGGAGGAACTGCAAATAGACATGGAGCTGCTGCCTACCTGGAGACCCTTTGTGATCCCCATGGAAGGCTGTGTCTGCCTGTCACCCCCTGGGGTTTGAAAGTCTGGCATGAGAGAGAGGTGCAAGGCCTTCAGAGAGGGCCAGGACTGTGGTCTCTCACTGCATTCCACTACTGCTGGGAAGAAGAACTGAAGTCTACACATCTGATCTCCTCATTTCAAAGAGGGAGCAAGCCAACCAGTCATTGGCAGTGTGGGAACTAGAACTCTGCTTCCTGGCTCCCCAGCACCATCTTCCCATAACTGGCTGCCTCTTGCTCGTGGTCCACCCCTCTTCCCCATCTCAGGCATGCTGCCACACTGTTTCAGTCTTACCTCTTTGGGAGAAGCTTCAAGATGGAGCACATGTACCCCAGGTTTGATGTAAGCCTCTGTAGTCACCTGCCCAGGGCCCACCTCTATGCCCAGGCGCCCAGACAGCGGCTGCTCTTCTCTCCCAGAACCTTTGGGGTTCCAGAGAGTTTCTTGTGGAATACGAGCTCTTTCCTTTCCTCCATTTTGGTCTCAGAAGCTCTGGTCTCTTGAAGTTATGGTCTGTCTATGTTGGTTCTGGTTGTATATGCTGCTTCAGCTGCCCTCTTGACACCTGGTCTGTTCCAGAAAAATCCAGACTAATGTGTCTTAGGGTAAGGGGCTCCCTCCACCTCAGAACTCCATTCCCCTGCTCACAGAACCCCCAAGTCCCCCGGTTCTCTTTCCCAGCTTCACCTGCCCAGTTTTATCTTCCGCTTTGGTCTCTTCTCTCACTGGATGTATAAAAGTGACTTTGCTTACTTTAACTACCGGGACTTTCTAGAGCTGGGTCTTTACGTGTTTGTTTGTTTAAGAGAGTCTTACACGTAGCTCAGGTTGGCCTATTAGCTAAGGATGATTTTGAACTTCCTGATCCTCCTACCTCCCCAGTTCCCAAGCTGGGATTGCAGACAGGTAACACCATGCCTGGTCTCATGTGGTGCTGGGGAGTTAAGCCCAGGGCTTCGTGTGTGCTAGGCAGCTTCTCTACCATCCGAGCTGCATCTACAACCTCACTACCCTTTCTGCTGGTGGCCTTCCTGGAGGCCTCCTTCCCACAGTCTAGTCGCGTATGGGCTTCAGCGTTGTCTGAGGCCAGATCTGCTGGGTAGGTGGCACCTTGACTCTTGCATCCCGTTAGCTCATCCGACAAACTAGATGCTTAAGAATCTATGCAGTTAGCTTTCTGTTTACTTGACACAAACTGGGTTATCTGGAAAGAGGGAACCTTAATTGAAAAAAAATGCCTCCACCAGATTGGCCAGTAGTCAAAGCCTTGGGGCATTTAATGTGTGGGAGGGCCCAGTCTACTGTGGGTGGTGCCATCCCTAGGCAAGTAGTTTTGAGTTGTATAAAAAAAAAATCAAACTGAGCAAGCCATAGGGAGCAAGGCGGTAAGCACCACTCCTCCATGTCCTCTGCATCAGCGCCTGAATCCAGGTTCAAGTCCCTGCTCCGACTTCCCTTCATGATGAACTGTAAGCCCTTCCCCTCCTCCCTCTGACCCCTCCCCCGCACAAAGTTGCTTTTGGTCCTGGTCTTTGCCATAGCAACAAGCAAACTAGGACAGATTCCCAGTCTTCATACAGCAAAACTAACAGAGACTCAGCTCCTATTCAAGGACATGCAGAGTGCATACAGTGCTAGCTCCGCCTAGCTGGTGAGCATAGGCAGCTCCTGTACTGAGCTGCCTGGTCTAGCTTGTGACCTTTAGACCCTGGCTGACACTGATGATGGTGGTGATCTGTCCTAGGACACTCATGCCAAAATCGAAGATGTCACTCCATTATTACCACCTTGCCCATTTCTCCCTACAAATCTGGCAACATAAACCAAGCATGGGGTGTGGGAGGGGGAGGGGAGATAGATGAAAGATAGGCAGGAGCCTGTTGCTGGTTTCCAGGCCAAGAGGGACTAAGCACGGAGGCAAGCCACAGTCATTTTCCAAGGAGCAGGATGTTAGAGACACAGATGGAATTCTGAGCTTTTCCGTGCTAGCCAAGATAAGAAGGTGGCCATTCTCACAGGAGAGGGCGAATGCAAGGGCTGCATAGCATTTCCCCCATTGGCTTTCTCCAGGCCTGCCTCTTTCAGCAGGCATTGTGTGCACAGCTGAAGTCCCATTCACTTTTTCCTAGGGTCACCAGGGTCTGGGGCCAGGTAAGGTAGTAGAGAAGGAAGCCGTAGGCTCTGCTCCTCCTCTGGCCCAGGACTCTCAGTGGCTAGAGAAGAGGCCGATGGCTCTGGGTGGGAGCAGGTATTGAAACGTTCTGGATTTCCCCAGAATGGGCACAGGGCGAGGGGCAGCATGTGTAAAGTGCAAACAGGAAAGCACTGGACTGGAGCAAGGAGGGTCCAAGCTTCTAGTTTCCCAGAACTGTGGCTTCTTCCGAAGGTTTTCCCTGAGAATATCTGGAAGCATCTGCTGTGGGGGAGACAGGAGCAGACCAGTGGCTTTGTTGCCCACCTTTCCCAGGAGGCAGAGGAGGCAGAGCATTGTCCGCTTGTTATGGAACCTGGCGTCTAAGGGAGCTGTTTGCTGGGCTCAAAGGCAGGAGAGAAGACTGTGGAGATTAGAGTGAGACCACAGACACACTCTGCTTCTCATCCTCTTCTCTAGCACACACACAGACACAGACACATACAGATGCACACACACAGGCACAGACACACTCACACATACAGACATATACAGATACCCACACACAAACTCACACACACACAGGCATACACACCGATTCAGACACACACACACACACACACAGAGGCATACACACAGACAGACATATACAGAGTCACACAGAGAGACACATACACACAGACACACATACACACACTCAAACTCACATGCAGACGTACACATAAACTCACAGACACACACAGATACACACAGAGAGACACACACAGATGCACACACATATGTACACAGATACACACAGACACACAGACAAACACAGACGCACAGAGACAGACAGACAGACACATACACATAGACACACAGACAAACTAACACACATGGATACATACAAACATACATACAAGTAGACATAGACAGACTCACACACATAGGCAGACAGACATGTACACACACAAACACATGAACTCATACACACAGACACAGACAAACACACACAGAGACAAACTCTCTCTCTCTCTTTCTCTCTCTCTCTCTCTCTCTTTCACTCTCTCTCTCTCTCTCTCTCTCTCTCACACACACACACACACATACACACAGAGACAAACTCACAGCCCTAGGTCACACTCTCTGCCTGTGTATCCTACCACTGCTTCCTTGTGCAGGGAAAACTGCAATCTTTTCTGGAATGAACTAACCAATCTGAGAGAATAAATCATCTTTAATTACCCCTGGGCTGCCTTTGAGGAAACTCCAGAGAGGAGGCCAACTCTTGGTGCAGTGGCCCTGGGCCCAGCCAGCTGGGAGGACAGTCCAGGAGCTGGTGATTGGTGTCCCACCATAGAGATTTGAGAGCTGCTTGCAGCACTTTTGTCTAGTGCTAGGAGCAAGGCCGGGCGGTGGAGAGACAATTGGAGCTGTTTAGGCCTGGCTCCAGAGCTGTGCCTTGCTTTTCCTAGGGCTGGACTCATCCACCCAGAGCTGCCAGGCCGAATGGAGATGTTTTCTTGCTGATCCTACTTGAGTACAACAACCAGGATCGAGTTTTACAGGCAAATGTTTTCCCTCTGATCGGCAGACCCATCCTAGCTCCCCTGGGCTGAGGCACATTGGCAGGCCCTGAAGCTGTGGTCCCTCAACTACTGCTCTCTGGGACCTGGGGGCCTACGTGGTCACAACCCTGCTCTGCCTCTAGGCCTGAGCTGGATTCTGAGCTCTGCTTCTGGGGGTGGGTGGGTGACCATCCAGGCTGTCGTGCCAGGAGATCATCTCCTGCCTGCCATCTCTATTCCCCACACCACGTCTAAGCTGCTCAGCTGTACTGGCATGGATGTCCCTTTCTACCTTTGCTGGCTGTGCCCACCTGAATCACACAGAGAAGTTCTGAGGCATCGGAGACTTCATCGTGCCTTGGCTTTGTGCTGTCTGCAGAGGGGAAACCTAGGGAGGAGAGTCCACATGGGGTGAGGAGGTAGGATGCTGGAGGTGGGGTCTGCAATAGTTATCCTAGGAGTAAGGATCCGGAAGAAGTTTCTTACGCTTCTCTCTCTCCTGGTTGCATAAAAACACATCTTAAGAGTGTGTGGGAGGGGCTGGGAAGATGGCTCAGTGGTTAAGGACACTTGACTGCTTTCCTAGAGGACCTGGGTTCACGTCTCAGCACCTACATGGAAACTCATAACTGTCAGTAGCTCCAGTTCCACATGGACCAGGCAGGCATGTGGTGCACATACATATATGAAGGCAGAACGAATACTCACACATGTAGCTAACTACATGTAAATAAAATGACTACATGCAAATAAAAGTGCATGGAGGGATGGCTGTGCCAACGTGCCTGCTCTCACAGGGACTTCAGGTTTCAGAGCCAATGTGGGTCTTTTCCAACAAGACGATGCTGGCTGAAGGTCTGGAGGGCTGCATGAGATTTAGCACTTTCCCAGGCTGTGGTTCTCTACCCTCCACTGTGACGTCACCACCGGAGAAGGATTCTGCCCTCCTGGTCACTTCTTCAGGGGTCCCTGCCCCTCAGGCTGCAGGGACAGCCATCAGAATCATTGTTTTGTTTTTTTTCTTTCCTAACAATGACAAATCCCATCTGGAATGTGTATAAAATAAGACAAAATATAGCTGGGAGTGCTACAGCTTTGGGACTTGGGGACCCCTTTTATAGCTGTGCCTTTTGGTGGGATTGCTGTTTCCAGGTTGGGTTTCCTCTAGAGAGAGGTCGCAAGGTTGCTATGCTGAGTGAGTTTAGCTTCCTGCATCCTTCCGTGGGCTCTCCTGTCTTTCGCCTTCATGGTGCTAGAAGGGCAGGCTGTCTAGCTTTCTGTGTGTACCTCTGACCCTGTCTTGTCTGGAGACTGTGAGGGCTTTGCGCGTCTCGCTAGCAGTTTCATATGATGAGTGTTTTGGACAAGATAACCTCGAGGTCCCGTCGGGAACATCTCCAACTTTCCAGAGTGTTGTTGAGGGGTCAAAGCTGAAGTATACCTTGACCCTGTTCTCAATAAATCTCAATCACCCTGTCCGAAAATATGAGGCAAGACTGGAGGACCACGATTCTGACTCCTTGGAGGACCCTTTCCTTGCCGCTCAACACTGATGGTAGGGACACTATTTTGTGGGAAGGGTTTCTCAAAACCACTGCTGTAATTGGGGATGGGTGGTTCTCAACGGAAGAGGACATCCTGTGCCTTGTAGGGGATCTAGCAGCATCCCCTGCCTCTGTCTGCTAGATACCAGTAGCATTTTGATTTGTGGCAACCAAATTGACTCTAGACATCGCCAGAGGACCTCCTAAGGCAAAAGTACCCCTAGAGGAGAGTGGTGGGTCTACACTTACCCTGCTACTGGGCATCTATTCCCCCTGGATCTTTATATCTCCTTGGCCCTCATGACACTGGGTTTATCAGAGACAGGTGAAGCATGGTATCTGTGACACCGGTGCTCTGGGCTTGCGGGGGGGATCTTGTTTATTATCTTACCCATTCTAGGCTGAAGAGTTATTTCTGGTCTATCCCGTGGTCACTAGGCTGCAGACTTCCCAGTGGAAATGTGGAGGAGTGGCTTCAGGTGCTGGCTGGGAGTCTCCTCCTAGGAAGTGTGAAGTCTGGCAAGGACAGCCCATCTCAAGGCTACCTCTATCCCTGCCTGTCACTTCCAGAAACCAAAGTGTCACCAAGGCCAGGACAGGTACAGAGCTGTGTAAATGGTGTGGAGCTCTGTGTGCACAGCTGGCTGAATGAGCCAAACATCCTCTTATGCACAATGAAGAAGTACCAATTGAACCAGGGCTGGAGGCACATGCCTGTCATACCAGCATGTGGAGGTAGAGTTGGGAGTTCAAGGCTAGCACTGGCTACATAGCAAGTTCAAGACTAGCACTGGTTACATGAGACCTTGCCTCAAAATAACGGCAAACAGATAAAAAGAGGAAGAGGGATAAGAAAGAGAAAAGAGAAGGAGGCTGAGACAATGACAGTCATCAATCAAGGGATTTCTGTGCCTTCCTCGGATTGTGTCACCCTTTCGTACAAAATACTCTGAGGAAGCATAAGCAAAGGCCAAGCAACCTCTTGACTCTCCAGGAGGACTCCACAGAGGAGATGCTCAGATACTGTAATCCAAGGCACAGGGAGCGGTGTAGTACATATGCACGCATGTGTGTATGCACAACTATTTCAGATGCTGTAATCCAAGGCACAGGGAGCAGCGTGGCACGTGTTACACACATGTGTGCATGCACAACTCAAATTCACTGTGAAGAACTTGGATTTTTTTTTTTCTTATTTGGTAGTGCATTTGAGAGGCAGGAAGGATAGGTGGCTCACGGGTGCCCTTTTCTTATTTGGAAGGTAAGTGCCTCCCTTTTTCCCGCCTTCCATCCACTGCGCTCAAATGTGTCTCCAGAGCTGACACATCAGCACAGAGGAAGGAATTAAAGACAGTCCCCGATTGCAGGAAACTTACAGCCAGGCTCTGATTTGTGGAATGGGGCTGAGAGGTGCTTCAGGTGCCACAGAGGAACAAATCATCTGCTAATCAGCCCGCTGGGCTTCTCGGTGCCCATGGGATCCACTTGGGCACAGTTGATTGCGAGGATGCCTGATTCTGGCGGGTGAGAGTCCTAAACAAACAGCTGCTAAAGAACCGGAACCGGAAGTGACGGGACAGTGCTTCTGGAGTCTAGGCAACCCTGCCGAGCACAGCATACTGTCCAGACAGACAGCTCAGGTACGCATGGCCTGTGCCCAACTTCACTGGGCCTATCCCCCGCAGCAGTTATTTCAGGGCCTCTCCCCTTTCTCTGGTTTTCTTTCTCCCTCAGTGAGCTGATTTTCTCCAGACAGCTTGAGGGGAAGGGGAACAGGGAGGGAAATCTCACCAGATGGGCAGCTTTAGGGCCATATACAGCTCCGCTGGTCTCAGCTTTCAGCTTTTAGGGTGAGGGTGCGCCGAGGTTTACAAACCCCTGTCCCAGGGACAGAGCTGGCCTCCACTGGGGCTTTGAGTGCTTTGGAGCTGCTCTTGGTAACTCCTTGGACTGGCATAAGACTTGCTCAGAGTGATCCAAGGATCAAGAGGTTTCCTTGAGGCCCAGAGGCCCAGAGTGCTCCCACAGAGAGCAGACACAGGAAGTACACTCAGAACTCCTGTTAGGCCAGTCTAGAGCCCGCCCAGGTTCCAAGTGAGGACAATGCCTCTGCAGGCACAGTGCAGCCCTGTGTGATCCTTCTACACTGAGTTTAGATGACACCAGTTACAGATCCAAAACTCCAAGGCCTTCCTGGTCTGCGTGGCTTTAGAAGCAGCAGGGAAATGAAGCCTTCCATCTGAAACTAGATGGGACTGAGGAACCATGAAGCAGGCAGTCAGCAGGTGTTCTGGTCAGATGCCAAAGGGTTTCTTCCTTGATTAGGGCGAGGGCAACATGGGGCCGGGGGATTTGGGCCCATGCTATGCCACTCAATAGAGGCCCGCTGTCTTTCCCAGCCAGGAGGTCTTAGGCGGAAAGCTTGCTTAGGTGCAGTTCCTCATAGGAGGTACTGGCAGGAAGGTCTGTTACCTGGGGGACAGGAGGCTGTGTTCGTTGCTGAATTCATTTCTTTCTCCAATTTGCAGTCCGTGCTTACTAGTCCTGTGCTGGGGTGATGCTGTCTTCAACTTCCTGTAGCTCATGGGCACTGAAGACAAAGAGAGCGGGGAGGCAGGCAGGGGTGGGGGTGGGGGTAATGTGGGCACGCGACCTTACATCACAAATCCAGATATGAGATAAATTGGTTTTCTGGCTTTCTTCCAAACAGAGCTCTCTGTGTCCTACCCCCAAGGCCTGCAGCAGATAACAGATGTCGGAAGTCAAGTCCCAGCTGGAAGCCACATTGCCCCTGGCTACCAAGTCCTATGGAGGCTTGCTAATCTCTGCCCCACTGCCCTGATTGTTTACTCTGGGTTAATTGCTTTCCATAATCCGCTAACTTCCCCTCATCTTCTACTCTCTTCTACTGCTTCACTTTAGGGCAGACCTCTCCTCGGCATCCTCTGGGACCCTCCAGTGGGTCCTTGCCTCTTAGTTCACCCGACACTGGGGTTTCATGCTAGAGCTGGGAGCCACGCTGTCCCAGGGGAGGAGGCTACCAGGGCCAGGGTCTGCCATCAGAGCCCCATTTCTTTGTATAGAAAATGAGGAGTTTTCTAGAGCGGCTGAGCCCACAGCGAGGACCCTGGAACTGCAGCAGCAGCATGGGGGGATTTGTTAGAGAGTTCAGGGGTCAAAGTAGGAATGGGAGTACCCGCCTGTATTCTTAGCCCTCGGGAGGCTGAGACAGGAGGATTGCCCCAAGTTAGACGCTACCCTAGAGCTACATAGCAAAATCCTAGCTCATAAAGATAGATAGATAGATAGATAGATAGATAGATAGATAGATAGATGATAGATAGATAGATAGATAGATAGATGATAGATAGATAGATAGATAGATAGATAGATAGATAGATAGATAGATAAACAGGCAGACAAACAGGTAGACAAACAGATAGATATCTGGGCTCAGGTTCAGCAAGCAGGCTGTCATGTCTCTCTGGTGATGCAGACACAGCTGGGGTTGGACTTCTTGGTCCCCTCTGGGGTCCCCTATGATCTTAGTTCCACTCTTCCTCTCATCCTCTTCCAGCTTGCAACTCTGATGAGTCGCAGAAGTCCTGTGACTACATCCTAGACCGCTGACAGGTATCTTAAGGGAGCCATTAAATTCTCATATGCTCTCAAAAAACCCACCATGCTCTTCTTGCTCATGTGTCTCACCCACTCAGCTCCTCAAGGTCTGGCTTGCTCCCTAGATGGCCTCCCAACCTCTTGTTTTCCCTAGGACCTTTCCCATTCTCATGGGCAGTGTTTGGGGAAGTTTGGGGAAGAATGTCTAAGGGCTTTTGCAGAGGGCGGAGCAGATACAAGGGTTAATCTTGGCTGGGAGCTTTTCCAGGGCTAGTTTATGTCCCTCTCAGTCTTTTTCTAGAGGAGGCTGCTGAGGTGCCCCCCCCCCACACGTGCAACCAAATGAGCAATTGGGAGTATCCAGCGCTTGCAGCCCCCTGAGAAGTGTGTAGCCTCCCAGGATGCTGTAGCATAAACACTCCTGCCCTTTCAGTGCCTGTGGTAAGAGCTGGGCAGGGATTTTCTACTGCCTCACCTGGGTTCCCAAAGGGACAGAATGCCCTAACATCTTTCTCCCGCTGCTGGCATTTAGCCCATCGCTGAGTTAATCCAAGCAATCCGAATAGCAGGTTTGCAGGGAGGAGACCTCTTGCAGACCCTCAAATCCTACTCTCTGGGGCGCTGATAACAGGCTAAGAATCCTGTCTGGCCCCCTGCAACCATTCAAACACGGTGCACTCAAGCCAGTGTGGCTGAATTCTGCAAAGACACCAAAAGAAACAGAACATTTGTTGCATCCCCTGAGAACAGGCATCCAGGAGGAGGAGCTGGTTTGTGATTTCAGGTTTAGAAGGGCTCCTCTCTCCTACTGCCCACCCCCCAAGGCTGCCCCTTCCTGAGTCTTCAGTCTCTTTCTTCCCGTGTTAGGTGGAGGGCCTCAGTCTCCCGCAGGTCGTGAAACGCCAGCCCCAGCTGGCTCTATAAGATCAGGCTCCCTATTCCTTTTCTGCTGCTTCTGCGAGGGCCTGGGCCCCAATGGAGACCTCTCTGGGCCTCTGTGCGGTCTCCAAGGAGCCTGGAAGAAATGCAGTGTGAGAAAACAGCCTCCCTGCCCTTCCCCCACTGTGCTCTTCTTGTCCACGTCTCCCACCCACTCAGCTCCTTGAGGCCTGGCCTGCTCCCTCGCTGCCCTCCCAGACTCATGTTTATGCAGGAACGTTCCCATTCTCATGGGAAGTGCATCAAAGTTTGGGAAAGAATGTCAAACCGCTTTTGAAGAGGGTGGAGCGAATGCAGGGTTATAGGGTTAACTTCAGCTGAGAGATTTTCCTGGCTGAGTGGATGCCGTGTGTGTGTGTGTGTGTGTGTGTGTGTGTGTGTGTGTGTGTGTGTGTACACGCGCGCTCGCCTTCAACATGGGAGGAGAGAGACTCACTCCCACCCTCTATATACCCCTCTCAAGCTCACCTCAGCTCCAGTGACCTTTATACCTTATCTGGGGACACCAGAAGGGGCTTACATTGGATTTAAACATTCTCTGGTTCATGCGTGAAAGGAAGCATATGTTTTTTGTTTTTATATATTAGGGAAAAATGAAAATATGTGTGAGACTCTGGCCTGGGGAACTTTCACAAGCGCGGGGATCCCTATGTTTTTGAAACATGAAAGTGGGTGAATATCATTGATTTTAAACCTGGAGTCATAGTTGTTGGATGAGTCAAACTGCGCGCTACAGGTTGCTCCGTTAGTGATTCCGAGAGCACCTGTCCCTTCCAAAGTGTGGCGGGTCCCTCGCTCCCTTCTGACAGTTTGTGAGTAGTGGGCAAAACCTTAAAGAGAAAAATCCGTCAGCAGCACTCTCTGGTGTAGGACAAAAGACAGCCTTACGTCTTCTGGTGAAGACAGACAAGTCCTTGTTGCCAGCCCGGGAATTGTGGGAAGTGGGGGAAACCTTCAGACTGCAGTGCATACAATTTGCTCACTAGAACGTCAGCTAATCACATTCATTCCCTCAGCCTTCACCTGTACTCGTCGCTTCTTTTTTTGTCCTGAAGACTGAAGAGTTGCCTACCCCAGTGCAAGCTTCCCTTTCTTTTCACATGTTAATTTATTCCTTGATTTGTAGCATGTTTTTCCAAATGTGAGCCCGTGTCTTTCACATGTAGCAGGGGTCTGAGGAGACAAAATGGAACTTTAGAGTCGTGTGACCACATCGGGAGGGGATTGGCCCCCTTCCTGGGGCCCAAACCGCTGTCAGCAGCTTTGCAATGCTAGGCACCTGGGGACTTGGAGGGTGATCTCCAAGTGTTGTAAGCACCCCCCTCCTCCCTCTCCAATGATCTTCATTCCCTGGTGCAGTACTTTCACAATGACTTCAATGGCTGAGGACAAAACTTTCCCATTTTTTTTCCATTGAAGTAATCACTTTATTTTCTTCTATACTTATGAGTGGAAATGTACTATGATTCTCGGGAACAATCGATTTTGTTCTGTAGGTCGTTTAGAAAGGAATGTCAAACAAGTTGCATCCTCACGCACACACAGGAAGATTGATGGAGCCTGTCTGCTTTTAAATCCTGTGGCATGTTTTTTAAAAAGAGTTTGGGCTCATTAAAACACCCTATTCTAAGCAGTGCATTCATTCTAAAAAAGTTTTAGGATCCAGAATTGTAATTGAAATCATATAATTCAAAGAAGTCTTGGGGACCAAACAGAAGAGAAAATAATTTATTTTTCCCCCCTTCTGTATTTTTCCTAAGCTTCCTTCACATTTTCATCCTTGTCCCTGGGGGAATCCCGTGCTGGACAAATTTAGAATAAAATCTACTTTGTGCTCTCCTCCTCAGTGGCTTCCCTTGTGGTTATTCTTGAAGAAAGACATGTGCCTGTGCCTGGAATCCCACCATGGGTTCCTGCTGCAGGAGAGATGCCCGAGAGCTCCAGAGGCTAGAAAACAGAGGCCTAGCCCTGG